CAAAGGTAAAGTGGTCCCTGATAATCCTGTTGGCCTTCTTCCTGCACTGCTGGGTGGAGAGGTCCTCCGTGGATGGCAGCTCCGTCCTGGTGATGTGCTGAGCAGTTTTCACCTCCCTCTGTATTTGCTTTACTGTGGAGGGCGGTGCAACTGCCATACCAGAGGGCGATGCAGCCAGTCAGCCAGTGTAGAGGAGTGTATAAAAACAATATATCATAGTGTACATAAACTATTATTTGTATTAGATACAGTAGGCCGTGCCCTTCTAGTATGTGCTCCCCAATGGACTCGTTAGTGTATAATCGTTATTAGAGACTGAGTAGAAGCCCAGAGAGGTTTTATTTATATAGTTACAGAGTATTTATATGTTTTTTCTCGTCTTAAATAACCATTTTATGATACATTTATTTTCAACCACAGAGCAAACAGATGAGAGAGTATATAGAGAAGATATTTAGTCATATTCTATTGGGAATGTGCAGTATGGAAAAAGGCTCTCATTCATGAGAAAAGGTGGTCACATTTGACACATGATGATCAACTCCCACTTTTCTGCTTTGATGTAAAAGTTGAAGAAAGAACAGCAAGAAAAAGTGCAGCCGTCTCTAAACATGTCCCCATAAACACATTCTGCCTGATTACAACATCTATTTCTTCAGCCTATTTGTCCTCAAGTGTAGATTTAAAAGTAATACAAACATATGTTAATCCACTGGCTGCATGTATTTCAAAGTGGTGTAATCCTTAAAATGTCAGTCCTGGTTGATTTGGATACAGAGCGAGAATGGCAGACTCCGCCACTAACAGAAAAATACTAATTATTGAATGTATGTGGAATGGCTATTGCAGAAAAGATGCCGACCAGCTATCAAAAATGGGGACACTTTCGAAAACTTTTCTTCTCAGACGAATAAAGGGAGTGAAAAGTGGGACTGCTGTGGTGGCTAAAGTTGAATCATGTGCTCTGATGTTTTATGTAGCCGCTGAATGACAAAGATTAGAGTTCTGGAAGTGTTAGGAGACGAACTAAAACAAGAATACCTGCTGATTTCTTATTAAGCTGGAACACATGTTTTCTGTTTGGAGAGATGGGTTTTTATGCTTTGCTTATAATCACCTTATTCCCCTGGTGGGCAACATGATGTATATACAGTATAAGCACAGGGCAGTGTATGTAGCAGACGTAACCAATATTGAGCCACTTCAGGAAGTTAAATTTCCAGCTTCACTCAGACAGCAAGAGCATAGTTTTTATGGTTAATCCTCTTTGGCCAGTGCATTATGGTTTTGCCTTAATCATGAAATGGATTATATACAAAAGTATGTAAACTATTTTGTTCTACAATTTGCCAATGAAGCAGACATATTTGCTGTGTACAATATTGTGTACAGGCAGTCTGATGCATTTCCTAATGTGCAATGTGTTAAAAACATATCCCTCGAAATGTGTTATCCTTATGATCGTTCAACTCTGTAATAACTTTTCTGTGTATGATACTTTAAAGCAAATGTTGAAGACAACTTATAAGTGTAACACATTCTGTATCCTGTCTATTCCAACGTGTTAGCAGGAACTATACAGTAGTAATATTGTGCTTATTCTTGGAATATTTATAGGTATTTTTTACAGGCTTTGTATAGAAAAACACCTATAGCTTAAGTGGCAGGCATGTACCACTTTCACGTGTTCAAATCAAATCTATATCTAGAACGATATGTGTACTGTATTTAAACCCCACCCTTGCACATGAATCTTTACCCTCTAACAGGCACATCAAATGTTTGCAGTGAGCAATACCCAGTGGTATGAGAATTATCTTTCAGTCTATTTCAACAGCTTGAGTAGTATTTCCAGTTTTGTATAAAAGTGTATTCTTTCCTGATTACCTCTTGTTAATAAATCTATTCTTTCTCAGGGGGAGAAGTGTCTTCAAGGGTGCCACGTTTGTTTTACACTGTAAACTGAGCTAGCTGCATGAGCACAGACACTTGGTGGTTGTAGCTTTACTGGGGAAGACAAAGAGGGGGGGACAAAGGAAAGGGGGTGTTACTTTAAAAAGCAGCCGGCTCATGTGACGCTCTCACAGCTTGTTGGGGGTCGACACGGTGAAAGTATGGCGCTCGGTGTTTTGTGGTTCATCGCCACCGTTTTTAGTTTAGTCCATTTAACACCGTTAACTTTACCCGAAGGTAAGGAAACACTCATGGACTTTAACGGTTGTTTGTTATTCCTTCATTTTAGTTTGCAAAATGTAAGTCGCTGTCGCTTACAGTAGCCTAATATCTCGTTGAAACTAATTGAAAACAAGTGTTAACAGACAGAATATTAATTTCTAGGCTAAAAACAATATAGTTTATCTGTCATGAACAATGGTGGAATAAGTATTCAGCTGCTCCTTTACTGTACGAAACATTACACCTTGTTGGTTATTGTTTTATATATATATTTACATCATATTTATGTAATCACACATATGTAATATTTTGTTCCTACTTGTGTACATAACAGTCCTGCCTAGCATTTACCTTTATTTGTCCAGCCTTGTTCTTGCTGTTATGTTATTTTATTTATGTGTAAATACTGTAAAAAAAATATTGTCAAATTCCTTGTATGGCCACACGCACTTTGCAAATGAATCTCATTCTGATTCAATTCTGCAATATAATAACATCCCATTAGACTACGAGTAAACGTCCTGTAGCCTATTAGAAATGTCACTTTTAATATACGCTTTAATATAGTCTATTATAGGATTATTATTAGGCTAATGGTGCATTAATGTGCAAGTATCATTTTACTGTTGTACTTACTGTCTATGTTAAGCTAATTTGAACTATTTAATAAAGGCTACTGTTTGTGCCGTGCATTATATTATATTATATTAGTTTTGCATGTAAATTCTTCATCTGTAAAGTAACTGCAGCTGCCAGATAAATGCAGTGGAGTGAAAATTTAAAATTCCCCCTGAAAAGTGGTGGAGTTGGCCTACTAGTACCATGAAGTCAAGCACATGTACTTAAAAAGTGTGAGTGAAAGTACGACATTGCCCCCATTAATGACTTCAAGATTAAACTTGAAAGTTTGAAATGTTTATTATTAGTTTTATTAACAGAAGGCTTCTTTCTGTGTCCTATCAGAGGAATATCAATTCAAACAGTGGATGTCACAGGTATGTAGCCTACATAATAACAAAGTTATAATATATACTTCACAGCCTTATGAATGGTTTGATTTTGATTGCTTCAGTAAAAACTTTTTAAAAACTCTTTCTTTTCGATGTGCTGTTACACTTCTCTTTTTGACTGCAGTACAACAACGTTTATGACACCGAGGAGTATTACCACCGGCTCCGCTCATTCACTGAGAATAAGAGGGAAATAGATAATCATAATGCTGGGAATCACTCGTTCACAAGTACAGTAGAGCTCCTCACCCTGTCTCATAACATGTAATATATAGATTATTACCACAGAGGGTGCACTGTCAACTCTCTGTTGAAAGGTGTAATATTTTACAATGTTATGAAACACATGCATGTCCTCACAATGTTTTTCATCTTTAACTCTAGTGGGCTTGAATCAGTTCTCAGACATGACATTTGAGGAATTCAGGAAATCTTTTCTTTTGACAGCGCCTCAGGTATGACACATTTTACAACACACTATGCGGCTGGTGATTTTACACAAATAACTCTTTTGATCACAATCTTCTGGTTCTGGTCTTTTATAGAACTGCTCAGCTACTAAAGGGGGTCATGTCAGCTGGGCTGGTCCTTATCCCGAGTCCGTAGACTGGAGGACGAAGGGCAACATTGTGACTCCCGTGAAGAACCAGGTATCCAGATATGGTGCTGAACCGCCAATCAATTAACACCGCTATCTAGAAGGAGAATCAGAATGACAAGAATTTGGGCTAATTCATAGTGGAAAATGACACCGATGGTTGCAGCACATCACCGAAGGCTTGTACCTCAGTTGACAGTTTTTTTTATCAAGCAAAACCTCATCAGTAGCCATCATAACGGCTGTATTCAGCTGCTTTGAGTTACATGTGAGCACTGAAAAGGTAAAAGCAACAAATATTTCATTTACAAGCACAGTGGTTACTATAATCCAACATTTAGTGACAATCTTTATTTATGTAGCTTGACTAATTTCAGATTAAATGAGCATAATAAAGTGACAAAGACCGCAGACTTTACAAAGCTCCGCCAGAGACACAGAAGACATTATTCTGTTTTCACAAGCCATTGACCTTCATGCAAAAAAATGAGTGGAGTACCTTTTTAACATAAGTCAATTACAAGTTCTTTGAGTTATAACGTGTTTGCGTCTTCAGGGTCACTGTGGAAGCTGTTGGACCTTCTCTACTACTGGCTGTTTGGAGTCAGTGAATGCTATTGCTACTGGGAAGCTAATATCTCTGGTGGGTTTTCTATTATTCATTACTATCTAATAGATTTCAAATGAGGCATGTTCCCACAAGGATAATTTAGCAGATGTACTCGCAGAAGAAATCTCTGTTTCACAGTTTGATCTGCGGTTTGTCTTCGTTGGTGATTAGAGATAGTAGTAGTAGAAGTAGTAGTAGTAGTAGTAGTAGAAGTAGTAGTAGTAGTAGTAGTAGWAGTAGTAGTAGTAGAAGTAGAAGTAGTAGAAGTAGAAGTAGTAGTAGTAGTAGTAGTAGAAGTAGAAGTAGTAGTAGTAGTAGTAGTAGAAGTAGAAGTAGTAGTAGAAGTAGTAGTAGTAGTAGAAGTAGTAGTAGTAGTAGTAGTAGTAGTAGAAGTAGTAGTAGTAGTAGTAGTAGAAGTAGAAGTAGTAGTAGWAGTAGTAGTAGTAGTAGAAGTAGAAGTAGTAGTAGAAGTAGTAGTAGTAGTACAGAATTATTGCTTTGTATAAAAGCATAACGCAGTTTGCTTTCTTTACCAGTCTGAGCAGCAGCTGATAGATTGTGCTAAAGACTTCAACAATTATGGATGCATGGGGTAAGTAATATGTTTTTTTGACAACATTATAAGTTATAGTAATAAGAAGAATATGTGTATTTGGCTTCAACCAATTAAACACCACCTGGTTTGTTTCAGTGGCCTCCCCAGCCAGGCATTTGAGTACATCAAATACAATAACGGCCTCATGACAGAGGAGGACTATCCCTACAAAGGACATGTACGACTTTTCTGTTGTAATGTCTCATTGTATTTTTTGATGTAAAATCATTTTACAATGTAATCATTTTTTCTCTTTCCTCTTTTAGGATGACACTTGCAATTTTGAGCCTGCCCTTGCAGCTGCTTTTGTCCTGGATGTTGTCAACATAACAAGTGTGAGTGAACAAGTGTACACATGCGGAGTTACATTGTGCTTGGTCACAAAGTCACAAATCAGGTACAGTTAACTATGTCTTTGTTGGTGACCTGACAAGAGGAAAAGACAAAAGCAACTATTTTGGTGGACAAATAGACAAGATAGTTTCTTATAATGTGACTTTGTGCCATTGTTGTGAATTCTTACAGTGACAGTCTGATATACTGGATCAGCAACAATTTACTCACACTATATTAACGTTTACTGCATTTTGCTGTTCACTTTTGTATTAAAATGTCTGTGTGTTCGTCCATCCACAGTATGATGAAAAGGCCATGGTTGATGCTGTGGCCCGGCTCAACCCTGTGTCCTTTGCCTTTGAAGTCACGGCTGAATTTAAGCACTACAAAGAAGGTGTTTACACCAGGTGAGCTGAGGACAAGTCAACACGTGTTTACTGTTGTTCAGAAACAACGTGTGGTCAGGAATATTCAAAGGACTGTGTGTGGCCATGTTGTTTCTGTCCCCGTTGCACTATGGAAATATTTATAATACAATAATTGGATTTTTGTCTTGCAATCCACCAGCATTACAAGTTATTTAATCATGAAAGAGGATTATGGAACTAACAAGGCAACCAGTGAAATCCACAAAATCTTAGTTGATGGCTGTTGGCATGATGTGACAGAAATCTGCTCGTGCCTACATCAGAGCGTAACATATATTTCAGACTTTTGTTAGATATTGTGCTGTTTTACCACTTTGCCTCCCTGTTTGCTTCAACATTGGTGTCAGACCAGTGTAGTGACCAGAAACAAAATACTCTTTTCATCACACAGGGTACTGCCTGCTGACCTGCAACATGTCCGTCTTTAATACAGAGCTATTCATAAGTAGACCACTGTGAAGATCTGATGGCTCATTTGTTACGGTGTCTACATTCATGAGTGCTTGTGATTCACTTCACTCAACTTTCTGTCCTCTCTATCATAACAGTGCTAATATTAGCCTGTGAAGAGGAAACAGCTACAAAACGCATCTTTCCATAGGCAGGATGCAGCCCAGTCACCCTACAAAAGACATGTACTCCATTGATCTAAAAGCATCAGTGTTGTCTGTTTAGCACCCAGTGTAAGAAGACAGCAGACATGGTGAATCATGCGGTGTTGGCTGTGGGTTACGGTGCTGAAGAGAACGGCACGCCGTATTGGATTGTGAAGAACTCTTGGGGCACCAACTGGGGAATGGACGGGTAAATATAGTCTGTGTCTGTCTGTGTGTGTTTCAGTGTGATGACTTGTTACAGCTTCTAGTGATCACGGGCACCTTTCTTTCTTTATTCCAACAGATATTTTTTGATCGAGCAAGGAAAAAACATGTGCGGACTGGCTGCATGTGCTTCCTACCCTCTACCTTTAGTTTGAGGATTAAAATGGCAACTAAGTGGAGGAGTGATAAGACTCAGGAAAATGTAAGAGACAACATACATGGAGTAATGGAAAGTCAGTGCTTTCATGCTCCCTGAAGTGTTTTATGTAGAAGTTTGATTTCTCGAGATTATTAAACTATAAACTTTTGTGTCACACTGTCAACTTTCCTGTGTTGCATTTGCTTCTCATTGTTTTAAGGTTGGAAGTTTTTATCTATTATCTTTGTGTCTTGTGTTTCCTAATGTGTCGTTAATGACTACACAAAGAAAATGTATTTAATCGTATAAAGTTTGCCTGTACTGACGCTTGTACCATGCAGGCCACCTCTCCAACACTTCATATAATCAGTTATGTGACATGCACAGTGTCACGCTGAGCAATAAACATCCCAGTAGATCAATGATATCATGTTATGACAGATCTTCCATGGGCATTGACTTGATTTTTCAGTGAGAGGCTTCTCTATGACTCCGTAAAGACAAAATCATGTGTGTAAAAATCTCTGAACGTCTTCAAAGACAAGGACAAGCTGCTTCCTTGACCTCCACAGTTCTCTATCTTCTTTAACCCGATTAACATACTTTAGAGATGGTCACGCACAAAAGGCACATTAAGGAGTCCGCTCAGATGTGAAAGAATTGCCTGTTTCCATTTCTACATGTTTTGTTAATAAACAATCCTCCCGGTTATGCTTATGGGTCTTTTATTATATTATTGCCTGTATTACTGATTACATCTTTCCCTGTGTGTGTGGGGGTGTTTTTGTCAACTGAGGACTATTTTCTATTTTAACTTTCTGAAAAATCTGGCATTGTGAGTCAATCAATTGTTAAATGTTTCAACGTTACTATTGGGGCTGCTTTCATGCATTAAAAAACAGAATTATCAATATTAGCGACGTTATATCATGTTCCAGCCTGCTATTGCCAACATCTGCCAAAAGGTGGCGACATTATGTCTTCTTCTGTGGAAGCTGAAGCCGGAAGCCAGAGATGAGATGTCAATCAAAGTGTAAGGCTGTTTTCATTGGCTGTCAGCCGAAGAGAACAGCCCCTTTTATTCTGGTGACATGTGGAGACAACCAATGAGCTGCTGACATTCTGTTTCACAACACAGAGGGGCGGGGCCAGTCACAAAACAATAGGCTTGTTCGAGTTGAGCTGCGCCTCGCCTGGAAAGCAGACGAGAGCAGGCGGACGTAGAAAGGGGCGTTGACAAAAAAACTGCGTTCAAGTCGGACCGTTTTCAGCCGCCTGCTTCTTCTTCTTTCTTTTGCTTTTTTTGCGGTTGGCAAACAGCTTTCGGGTGCATTACCGCCTCCCACTAATCTGGAGTGTGGACTAAGGACTCCAATACGACAACCGAACGAAAAGAAATACATATACATATATACACACATACATATACATATGTGTGTAAATGAATAAAGATATGTATATATATACATATATATATATATATATATATATATATATATATATATATATATATATATATACATATAGAAAAAATAAATAATAATACATTTCTTTCTCAAATTCTATTCATTAGTGTTATTGACTCTAAATATTCCAGAAAAAGTTTCCAACATTTGTCACTAAAGCTTTTCTTTAGTACATTAATGATATTTTCCTCTCCAATCTCTCTTCGACCTTTTTTCAAAACTTCTCTCGCTGACTCGTACCTCTGACAGGACAATAAAACATGGTCCACGGTTTCTTCTTCTCCACAAAATTTACACTTTCCATTATTATGCTTTCTAATAACATAAAGGGAACAGATATCTTCCTTTACTCCCTTTATTACATTCATTCTGACATATCTTTTTGATTTGTCCCTTAATCACCACTTTAGCTTCTGACTTACTTATATTTACATTAACGTTATTTCTCCCACTCTTCAAAGCCCTTTTTGCTGCTTTATCCGCCTTCTCATTGCCATCGACTCCAACATGGACCCACACTAAATGAACCGCTATCCGCATTTGATGGATTCTTAAAAATGATTGTAGAATTTCAAACAGTAAATCCTCTCTGCTTCTGGAGTGGCAACATGTCAAACTCGTTAGCACTGCACATGAGTCTGATGCAATCACCACTCTCTGTGGCCTGACGTCCTCTACCCACTGTAACGCAATAACTGTATGGCCATCATCTCACATGCAAACACAGATACATCATCACTGAGTCTCTTCCTACACTCCAAATGGAATTCTGGGATTACTGCTGCTGCTGCTGTTCTACCAGTTTCAGGGTCTTTAGATCCATAAATCTGTATTTAATTGTGGTAACTGATGTATGACTTGAAGATCTTACAGTTTCCCCCATGTTCATCTCTCATCAGTTCAAGGAGGCCAAGATCAATTTCTGGCTGTGGCTGTAACCAAAGAGGAACAGCTAACCACAGCTGGAAAATAACTCCTATAACCTAATTCACTAGCCTTCTTCTTAACAACCCAACCAGAGCTCTTTGTTGGCCTGTTGTCATGTTCCCAGCATGGCTCAATTGCACTTATTGTTGGATGGTTGTTATGTCCTTGTAAACTGACCCAATATGTCGTCATTATCTGTATTCTTCTCAACTCCAACGGCATTTCCCCCATTTCTACCTGCAATGCCGGCACAGATGTTGTTTTAAAGACCCCACTACATATTCTTGACGCTTGTATTACATCCAGTTTTCCCAGCAAAGTTTTAGACTCCGTCCTATAAGCCACACAGCCATAGTCTAGAACTGACCTTGGGTGACTGTGGCTAAGTGGAGTGCAGGGCCGTCCTTCAATCAGAGGAGCGGCGGTTCGATCCCTGGATCCGCTAGGAGCATGCCGATGTGTCCTTGAGCAAGACACTTAACCCTAAAATTTCTGGTCTTTATGTTTGGATGTCTTTTCATATATTTAACTATGTTATTATTATAATTGAAGATATAAGATTGGGCATATTTTAGTTTTTGGATGTCATATTTATTTAAACATTTATATAAATAAATATATGTAAAGATAGCGTCATTTCTAAATCATACAACCGTAAACTTAAGAAATTTAAAAACTGAACCACAGTCCAAACATCACAGCTACATAAACAGGCTACACACGGAGGAAAAGCAACGCTGCAAGTTTCCATCAGTGACAATTGTGCTTTTCTTTTAATACGTGTTGTGATGCTTCACAGTCATTAATCGATGGACACATTCAGTGCTCTGACTGAAAACATGTTGACATCAAGTAGGATGTAGGCTTTCTCAATAAATATCTTTATTTACAGATGCTAAATAAATAACCTTATATATTATTATTGTTATTGCACAAAATGAGACTAATAGCCAACAATCTAGCGTTAAGTATTACAATTAGACAGAAAATTAGGATTTAAATTTTTTTATACTATATTTATCCTGTTAATTAAGGATAAATTTGTCTCTGCATTTGACCCATCCCTATATATGGGGAGCAGTGGGCTGTCTTTGACATGCGACACGTCAAAGGCCATGGTTCGAACGAACAACCTTGTGGTCACCAGACAAACCTCTTAACCCAGTGAGCCACGATCGCCCACCTTTCCCACTAAAGAACATCTAAGAGCCAATCAGCTCTTTGATCCGAAGACAGCAAGAAGTTTCCCATCATGCCCTGGGGTCATGCAGTCGGTGGAGAGCAATTCTGCATAGCCTGGCTCTAAAATCTGCGGCCGCCTCGCTCACGTGAGGTCATCGTTACGCACGTTTTCATGACGTCAGAGCAAGTCGGACGCAAATCTACCCAGCATGCATTGTGCGCCGATCGCCGGTGATCGATTCTGCGCACGCCTGGCTTAAATCGAACGAGCCTAATTATTAGGCAACAAACAGCCTCAGAAGTGAGCATTTATCAACCTTCTTGCAGTTCTATTGAAGGAATAGTTCATACGTACTGTTATAAGTGCACAAATATGGAGACAAAACGCAAAGCTGTTGTGGAGTTACGTTTATTGGTGAGTTTTGGAAGTTCTTAATCTGGTTTAATTAACGTTATTTCAACTGAGGCACGTACGTTCTGCGAGGCTATGCTTTTAGGTCTCACGTTAAGCGTGTTGCGAGTTTCGTGAGAACTTGTGCTTCTGTGGAAAAGTTCAATGATGCATTTTAGTTACATTTTCATAATGCACACCTTGTAGAAAATGCCCCCCGTGCCTCTCGAGGGAGTCCGACGGTCTGCAAGAAGCGCCCTGCCCCCTAAACGCCTCCAGTACTCACCGGAAACAGCTCACGTTAAAACACACAAACAGAAGAGGGTAAGAGAACTAAAGAAGTGCATAATACAAACTATGTATGTGTTTTTTTTTTTATTTCTAAAATGCCTGTCAATATTTTGTTGAAAGAGGAGAACAACAACAACAACACACAATGACCAACCCAGCCAGAATGACAGACAGGATGTTGGCGATAGTGATGTATGAACACGCATGGACAGTGTCCATGTCTCACTACATGTCTGTGGATTGTTGAAGCGTGTACAAAAATGTGTCAAATGAACACGTTTATTCTCAACTCCTCCATGGCTGGTTGTTGCCTGTTTCTCCTGAATGTCAGTGCTGTATCTTTGTTCCACACAGAAGGGATATGGCGTATATTCATCATATGAACTGGAGCGTCTGGAGAACATCAGACAGAATCAAGTTTTTCTGTCCTCTATCAATTTATTACAGGTAGGTAAAGGGGCGGAGTTACAAGGTTCAGTTATTGTCGTTATTTTTGCACAGTGTACGAGTGCACTCATTTCACCACGGCCATCTTGTGATTCGTCTTACTTTCTCTGAACAGGTAGGATTAGTATTAATTGTTTTTCTTCTCAAAAGGCAACAGAGGAGTTGAAGCAGTTGACACGACCAAAGCCATCGCAGAGGGGTCTCATGAGGTACTGAGCTCTTAATCAGTACTGAGCGTCTTAGTAATTGACATCTGGTGTGATAACTGATTACATAGGTTTTTTTCACTGTTAGTCAGACAAAGAAGTTGCGTGTAGACATCACTTTTAGACCGTCCATTTTTTAGTTTTAGCTGTAAGTTTAAGCTTTTAAAAGTCCAACCGACCAGCGTCTTCTTCATGTAACTTCGATGCTCTTGTCTGCGGCGGCAGGTCAAAGGCTGCTGTAAATGAAGCGCTGCCAGCTCGCAAATCCCTTCGTCTCCAAAATATAGAATCAAAGACCTCCACACTTGCTCCTGAACCCAGGGGGGGGCTGAGCATGCAGGAGGTAGCTGCATATAAATAATAATGTATATCTTGCCTCACTTTATGCCACTCTAGTGCTCTCTGTCTCTCTAGCATTTATTTATTTTTTTCTTCTTTATTTCCTGTTTCTCACTTGAGTTGTTTTACTTGCTTTGAAGTCATTAAAGAAACCTCTTGGTCCTCTGGCCATGGATCCAGTCAACATGGAAGAGGGAAGCAAGCTGCCATTACAGCTTCTTGAGCTCTGCTCCGAGGTAGCACTCATCACCTTCCTTGGCTATTGCAATGTGTCGTCTTTTCTTTGATTTTCTCCCAGAACCGTAAATGAATGTTTAGCTGTTGACTGTTGTGCTCCAAGAACACAATAACATTTCAAGCCAAAAATAATTTGGAGATGTATAATGTTGAAAAAGGTTGTCTTACATCTTTACAGGGTGATCATTTATGTTTGCTTATTGTTTATTAAAATTGCTTTTCTTTTCAAAGGGTACAACAGAAGAAAGAAAAATGGAGCTTGATCTGAAAGAGTAAGATTTTTAAGTTTTGACTCTGATTCTTTCAGCTTATCGCTTCTTAAGAAGTGACGACTCCATCTCTTACGGCACATTAGTCTCCCTTTGGTCCTTGCATTCATCGTCACATTTTTGCAAACAGTTGAAAATGTTCAACAGGCGGACTAAAACCTTCCCTGCTGTCTTTACGCAGGTACCGCTCCGCCCTGAAGAACATGAGGATAACTGAGGACAGAGTGGCCAAAGTGGTGAAGGGCCGCATCTTCTCTGCTGCCTTCCACCAATGTACCAACAGCCTGTTGATGGCCGCAGGAGACAAGCTGGGGAAAGTTGGACTCTGGAAGTTGGTGCGTTTTTGTTTTTTTTCTTCTTTTCACTGATCTTAGTGCTGTTACAAATTGGTATGTGACCACTGGAGGGCGCTGTGGGCTCCAAAACTTGCTCAAAGCAACAGGACTTGATGCACTAGATCAGCTGGGAAAATCCTAGTTATTACATTAGTAAACAACAGCAGAGGTACCTGAAAATAACTTTGTTTTATTTTCACATTTTTAAAAGGAACGGTCAGTTGGACTACTGTAAATGTGAGGCTAATATTCAGTAGTGATTCCTGGAAGCAAAGCATCCGTCAGTGGACACATAAGTGCCCTTTTTAAAAGGCACATCTCTTTCACATCATATGAAATCTACAAGAAGAAAACGCTCTCGGGTTTATTTTTATTTGTATTTTCCCTCAGGGTGGTGATTGGGGGGTTGATGGCGTGCTGCTCTTCGAGCCCCACACCCGTCCAGTTAGCTGCATGGCGTTCTCCAGAGCTCATCCCACCCAGCTGCTGAGCCTCAGCTACGACGGATCTCTACGCTGCATGGATGTAGAGAAGGCCGTCTTTAGTGATGTGAGATAGCTTTAGTTTCACCTATTGTGAAGGTTGTAAGCTTAACTGCCTACACGCAAACATTCCAAGAGCTTAAAACCTTGGTACTACCTCAATCAGTTAACGCCAATTTGTTTGTGCATTGTTCTAGGTGTACGACATTAAGGAAGGCCTGAAAACGTTTGACTTCATGTCCCATGACTGTCTGACACTAGTAGTGGGGAACTGGTTTGGAAAAGTTGCCATTGTGGATCGGCGGACCCCAGGGTAATGAATAATAGCTCTTGGTCTCTTTCCACTGTGTTGGAGAAGAACAGTTTGAACTCTCTCGTCAATGAATGATGTGTTCATAAACATGCTGCACAGGTGTTTTATTTCTCTTTAGAAACACCCACGAGTCCCTCCACTTATTGGACGCCAAGACCCTGCGTTGTGTTAGCGTCCACCCGCTACAGAAGCACTACTTTGCTGTTGCAGAAAGCAAGTATGTCTGACTGTTGATTTAATATACTTTTGCAGAAAGATCCGTCTTTTTTTAAACGAACTAAAGGAATGTTTTGATGTTGTCTGCAGGGTAGTGAATATTTACGACAGCAGATATCTGAAGAAGACTAAAAGCCAGGCAGTCTCGGAGCTGCACGGACACTCTTTAAGCATATCCAGCGCTTATTTCTCTCCTCGCACAGGCAACAGAGTCCTCACCTCCTGTATGGATCACCACATAAGGTGAAGCCGGCTCAGCACTTTGAATAACTGTGTTTTACTTATTCTGGTTGACTTTTCAAGTCCAGCTCAATTGTATCTTGAACTCCTTTGACAGGATATATGACACATCTGCAATGACTACGAAAGCTCCCTTGCTGACATCCGTCGGGTAAATCCCCTCATGTGTTCACCGACGTTGTGCTGTCTTGTTCTTGTGTATTTCTGTGTTTGTTTGAGACTTGTGTCAGCTGAACCTACTCACCACCTGTCTCATCAATCTTCATCTTCAGACACAACATGAACACAGGCCAATGGCTGACCAAACTATCAGCGATGTGGGACCCCAAACAGGAAGATTGCTTTGTGGTGGGCAGCGTGTCGCACCCTTGGACGGTGCAGGTGTTCCACGAAAGCGGCCGGCTCCAGCACTCCTACAGCGAGAACCTTCACTCAGCGCTGTCGGTCACTGCTTTCCACCCCACAAGGAACGCCCTCCTGGGTGGCAATGCATCAGGGCGCCTGCATGTCTTCACCGACTGAGATGAATACAAAAATATGTGACCACGGCTTCCTAGTTGCCTTCATTTATAGGAAGAACAAGTGAGGAAGTATTTTTGACACAGTCATGGTGAACAACTCGCACAGTGTAGATGAATATCTCAACGCTAGTCGTGACCGTCGTCTCTTGTTTGTTGTCCGTTCTGGATCTCCATTTGCTTTAAGAATTCTCAGACTAAATACAATACCGTGAATATAATTGTAAAACGTTCAGTCTTGAGTCTACTGTATGTGGAAGGGGCTGTTTTAACTTTGCACATGAGGACTCTCCTCCAAACATTGTAACACTGTTCAAACTGTGTCGAGGTGCAGCGGACTGTGAGCGAGCAGCGGTGTGCTGCCACACATCCCGGGCTGAACTGAGGTCTGGACTTTCGAAGCCACTCCTATTTAAGTCTGACTGACTGAGTTTGCTGTTTACGTTTCTGTTCCTAATTCTGTTCTTAATTAATACCAATTTTTAAAAATTGGTATTAATTTGTTGTTTTTTTTAAATATTTTTTATTTTATTTTTATTTTGTTGCTGCTGAAGCAAATACAATAAATAAAAAGGCATTTTCATACCAAACATTTTGAGTGTGAGTGTTAGCAGTGGTCGTACCATCTTTAGCTTCAGATGGCATCATTGTGACAGAAGAATAGTGTTTGCTATCCTTGACTACAGTCTCTCGTTTCCAAGCAGGGACACGCTTGTTTCCTCTGGATTCATGATGGAACTTGTAGACGTGCTAGCTGCCAGATGTCAAGAATAGATTAAATTTATTCATAAATAAATTACACCAGTCTTAAGTCAGTGATTGGAAATAAGCAGTCTTGTTTGAACACATGCTTACAGAGACATTTCCATGTGCAGGGCCATGGTACAGGGAAGAAGCTTACAGTAAGACCTTATTCCTGTTTACATGATTCAGTAAAACACATACAAGAGTTGCCTGTCAATGGAACCGTCACCCCTCTTTATCAGTACAAGTGATTTGAAACAGATTTTAACAATACAAAAAAAACTACATTGCAAGAGGAAATATTCAGTTGAATATGCTACTTCTGCTGTTCTAAACTGGCTAAAAATACAAACTGCTGCACTTCCATTTAGGTAAGAACCTGTTCAGAGTCAAGTGAAAATGGGTCTACTGTTAGGTGTTCAGTTCATTTACATGTACTTTCACAAGAAAACTTGCATCCACTCTGTTTCTCTCAAATGAGTCAAGGAAGAGCAGTCTAGTATTAGGCGACACATAAACGTGACTCGCATGACGACGTTACCTTCCGCTGTGTTGGGTCAGGAGCAGTGGGCACCATTCCCTTCACACATGCATCTACAGGCTGTTTCACCTTCTGAAGGGACATTTTGAATGTTTAGCAGACAGACGAACATTCCTTTGCTGTTTATGGTTATTATTCATAACATTATCTGTTATTTATTGCTCAAATTATGTTAAGTTTTTCATACACATGAACATAAAATGAGACTTTAAAGTACAAATTATAATACATGAATCACTTATTTTCTGCCTCGCCTGGCCTTTCACCTAACAGTCAATCAGAAACCAGCGAGCACCGTCTGAATTAAAGCAAATGCATATTAAGTAATTTATCAAGTCTAAAAACCAACCACTAAATAAAATGTTTTTTTCCTGTTAAATATAAATATATCGGTCAATACGTCTGTCTTAGTCATCCAACTCACAGAATTATTAATACTTCTTGATATTTTACCATTTCTGAATCTTAAAATGTCATTGTACAAAAATCAAATCAACATTCAAAGCCAGGTATTTAATTCTACAGGGATAAACTGAAGTACTGTTTCGCATTAACTTCCAACCTGTTGATTTTTTTTGGGAAAGGTGTGAATATTATTATGGTAACTTTCCAAACTGCCTATAGGAGCCTGGATATCCTCGACCCCTCAGCCAATCAGCATCATATACCATTCCTCTTGTTGCATAAATAATACATACATTTTAGATATAATGACATATACCTGCTGATCATTGCCACTGACACACAGCATATACACCTACATATATCCCAATCAAACACCTGTGGGCTCGTTGGGAGGACCGATTGTTAACTGTATGGTTTTTAAATGATGCTGTTGATTGCTCTGGGCTGTGAAGATGCACTGCAGGCTAACCTGTGAAATAACATATACGGAATAAGGCGAGAGAAGGAGAGCAGACTATCAGTTTCCATCTTTTGACGCAAACTAACAAACATCAGACAACAGAGGTTTCTTTGGTAGGTGTGATGACGAAGACTGCTGTAGGACGTACACGAGACGTATCTTAGGCTTTCTTGTAAGCAGGGCTGAAAACTATACATCCACTGTAGAAAATAATGCTTCATGTCCATTAAAAGCCACTGTGAGGAAATCTCAATGTGTAAATGAGAAAATCAGTTCGTACAAAAATGGAAACATGATTTAAATGTATTCAGTCTTTACAGATAAATGCATAAATGTGAACGCAGCAGGGCTAAACAAAGTTCTATGACCTCCACTGAACATGAACTAAAATCAAGCTCTCTTAACGGTATAATGTGGGGAAAATATAGCACTAAAATTAAGGTCAAATTTCCCTTAGTGGAAAGGATCTTGTTTTTTATATTAACAGTATTGCACATCAAGATAAACTCCTTCTGTGGGAGTCAAAGAACTAACCAAACACTTCACTATCACTACAGCTCTAGCTCACATCGTCCCATCACCTTTACAACTACTGTCAAAGTAACTACGGCAAAGAGACAGCTGTTCCTTACACATTGAAGTTGATCGTAGCTATAAGAATTATTTGGCTGCTATTTTATAAAACCAGTAAACCTACCACCTTCATTACTTACGTATAGCCTCACAAATATCCATCATTTATAGTCATTGGACGATAAAACTTTATTTTTGCTCTAGTTGCTGGACAGAAATGGTAACGTGAGCACTCTAAGGATGTGTGACAACAAGCTAAGTCACACTTATTTCAAAAATGATCATTCAAGCCATCTAACAGGACAGCACTTACATCACTCTTGGGTCAAATAGCTACTGCAACGTTTCAATTCAATTTAACAGATGTTGGGTTGTATACCACATTAGGACAATTCGTGCAAGTTGTCAACCATCTTAAAGAGGGCTAAATTCATTTTCCTACTCTTTCCTGTCACGTGTCACGTGGCTAATCTATTTATGGCTCGAATTTGAATAAAAACAATTATAATATTTGCAAGTATTATTTGACTCAGGACTGATCTACAGTCAGTAAGTGCTGCTTAGTTTTCCATTTCACACCTTCTCTAACCCCCAGACACTTGTACAACTCAAAGCAGCAGTTTTCACTCTCATAGCAGTGACCATAATAACATTTTATCATCATGAATGCTGTTGTTGGCTTTAAAATATGAAAATTAGACGAGCTAGACTGCCTCCCATCTTCTGTCAGTACTTAATTCAAACTCTCAGGTTACACAAGACACACCACAACACACCAGGTCATTCTGTCTTACAATAATATTGCAACATATAAATTAATACAAAAATAAAGGCAACTATTAACTGGTTGAATAAGTGAAGTCTGTCAGACTTGCTTGTCCCTTTCAGTGTTTGAATCAAACCCTGTCACTGTGGCTTTGTGTAAAAATAAAATACCTTGAAATGACCTGAATTTCCAAAGTAAAATGTGATTTCCTGTCCTTGCAGTGATGGTCAAACATAATAAAGGCAGGGAACAGTCCGTGGCTTGGGACAGGAACCTCTTCCTGGGAGAAGCTGAGCTGATAATGGGAATAGGGACGCCATCCTTTTCTCTCTTCCCACCCTCCCATCGTCTGTTGTATGTGTCGCATCTCCTGTGTTGTGTATTTCAGTCTGTGCTTCACTTACTGGTGAGGAAACCTCCCATCCACCGTAACTTACAGGCGAACCAGCGCCGCAGAGGGCAGAAGTATTCAAAGTGGAACTGCTGGAATTCAGGTGTCTTGCGGATGTCTCTCAGGAAGGCAATGTCCAGGTCTGACTCGGTCAGCATGATGAGGAGCAGCAGCAGGGCGAACAGCAGTCCGATGGTAACCAGGAAGAGACGCAACACGCTCAGGATGAATTTGTTCAGCTCCTCCACGTCGCTCGGTGGTGACGGCCTGCTCCTGACCATACGCAGTGCTCTCCTGCCGGAAGAAAACTCTGCCGCGTGCCCCTCCTTCGATGTGCCTGCCGCGGACTCCTGCCCATCGATGCTGCAGGGAGCACCGTTGAAGTGACGCGCCAAGGGATTCTCCATCCCGTGTTCGGCCACGGGTGTGGGCAGCATGCTGTCTGAAGGGCTGTAGGCCTCGTCGGAGATGACTGCTGAGGTGCTGGCCTCGCTGCCGTCGACCAAGTGGCCCCGAGAAGACATGAAGGAATCGCCATGAGAGACGGAGCGTACGGGCGTGGAGTGAGCGCTGTCTCGAAGGGACTCCAGACCTGGAAACACACCACAGAGGAAGGCAGTTTGTAAGGGAGATATGTTTAATAACTGGGAGGTATTGTTGACACATTCACATTTAAAGGAAGATTCTGACATGACTTTCTTATACCTCAGACCTCATAAGACTCATGAGAAATGTAATCTGTTATGTCTACAAGTTATTGATGCAAACGTGTGACTATAAAGAACCTGACCCTGTCTTTTAAGCAATTAAAAGACAGGGTTAATTCTGTTCAGTTTGAGTTTAATTAGTCCTAAAGCAGAGATCTGCTCAGTCCCTTTGAGTTTTAACCTGGCTTACTGGGAGTATTTAGGTACACTGTGCTCTGTTGAACACTGTGGCAACAGGTGGTCAGCTTGCCATGACTTATGCTCAAGAGACTGATCCCATCCTCCTGTCATGTAATCTATTTCTAAATTAAATAAACGGCAAAGACTCACAGGAGCAACTGTTCCTCAGCTCTCCCCCGATCCTCATGTTCATGTCAACTTCAAACTTTGATATCCATCGCGTTGGACTCAACATATTAAATAATTCCGTAAGTTGATGAAGTTTTGGAATCAGAGAAACAGCATCACCCTAAAATATCTGGCTCATCGTTCAGACGGTACTCTTAAAGAGAAAGTTGTCCAAATTGAATCCACAAGAAGAACCACAAAAAGGCAGCACTCCATAATCCTGCATGAGAAAAAGCAGCCCCGGGTTTTACCTGCGCAGTTGGCTGGTGGGTTGCGGCCGTGGAGTTGGGGTGGGACAGCTAGTCTGGAAGGGGTCCTGGAGCTCTGTCCCGACCCAGGACCAGAGCCTGAAGTGGAAGAACCCCCAGGGAGGGCGGGAGAGAACGGTAGGAGCCCCAGAGCCTTGCCCAAGAGCCTGGGTCCCAGAGACAGCACGCGCACATTCACATCTCGATAGCAATGATTAACCATGCGCAATTGAACATTCACCTTGGTCTTGATGCGGATCAGACACTTCACCATGGTTCAAGGAGATCAACAAGCACCCGTCTAACCCAAACTGTGTTCCAACACACGTTTGCTGCGCTCCTTCTTTTTCTTTATCTCTGTCTGTACTTGAAACTGCCTCTCCTCTCTCCCTGCTGTCCGTCTTTGTCTCTGACTGCGCCTGGCTAGCTAAGCAGCCCTCCCTTCTCCACAGTACTGGCAGGCATGCTGACAGCGGTAGAAAAATAGAAAGACAGACGGAGAGTGAAAGACAAGGCCCAGGAATGTGGCTCATTCGTGCCACAGTTCACCTCGTCCATTCTTGCGGTGGCACACATGGCATGGCCCCTGACAGCAGGAGCTATATTCAGGCTGTGATATTATTACCAGTGGAAATGCCAGCGCAGCAACAGAGCACCGGGACAAAACACAGGGGGTTTGTTTCAGTGTTGCAACAGTGGGTTGCAATATCAGAGCCTTCTCTCGATGTCGATGACAAGAAGGGGGCTCATTTTACAAAAGACCGTCTTCGTTGAAAGCACTATACTATAAGTTTATTTATTTTTAGCGAGGCTTGTCAACGGAGAGCAAATTTACTCACAATGACAGCATTGGCAAAAGGTTAATAGCCTGTTGGAGAAAAGACGGGTCAGTCATGCCCTTTATAAACGGACTTTCTTGTGTCAAAATACTGCCGCAAGCCACTGGCTCCAGGAGCTTGTGTGTGTGTGTGTGTGTGTGTGTGTGTGTGTGCGTGTGTTTCAGTTTCAGAAAGAGCACACCAAGAGAGGAAGGGCGAGATATCAAGTGAAGAGAATGACTGACACTCACAAGTGGGGGATTGTTCACATGGAAAGGCTACATTGTCCAAACAGGATATGAGTGAATTCAAATTGTGTGAGCGCCTTAAGAAGGACCCCAGATGAATTGTGCAATGTGTAATCCATAACAGATCAAGTCACATGGACTAAGAAAGTGATTCCCAACCGAATTGTACCTGGGGGGTATGCGGTTGCCAGAGCTTTGTGGAGTAGCTCAAGTAATTAAAAACAAAATGAATTAAGTTTTGGATTTTTTTTTAAAGCCACATGTTGAGTCAATTTGTAACACATGAACTCTAAGTACAGCAATTGAGAGAGCATTATCTATAAGTTATGAATAAACAATTATAGTTAGATAAAAGTAATTGATTGAAATAGCTAAAGTATTGGATAGATGGGTAAACGGTTAAGGTAACAAATGGTTGAAACAGTTGGGTAAAAGTAATAGTTGAATGATGAAACAGCTAATTGTAATGGATAAATAGATAAATTCTTCCAGTAGTGCAGCACTTCAATTGTATAAAAATCATTGTGCAATATTTGCTTGAATGGAATAGTATTCAATAATCCCTTTTAAATCAATTAAAATGAAAGGATTTGTAATATGTTAGGTGTTGTTGGATAAAGTCGGGGGGTGCGTCTGGATAAAAGATTGGGAACCCCTGGACGAAGACTTGTGCAGGCTCACTCACCAACATCTGCTTCACACTGATGGATATGGTCTCATTCTCTCAGAGAGTTTGAGGAGCCACAACTGTGACCTCCCGTCAGCCACATTTTTTGTTTTGTTTTTGTTTTTACTTTACAGTATTTCTCTGTTCTTTTGAGTGTGTGTTTTACCCTCCATGATAGAGATGTGCACAGCTCTCCGTCGGGTCCTTGGCACACTGGTCAAACGAGGGCCGTGGGTGATGGATGGACAACTCCTACTGGGCACCATGCCATGCCTGGACAAAAACACACAGCCATATGCGCACATCACATACATACAATGAATAAATCATTGTTAACCCACATTTAGGGCTGCAGGCAATATCTTCTTCAGATTTAATATTTTTAAGGATTCTGACCTGTGTATCTCAGGGGGGTCTCTCTTAATTTTGGCACTTTGTTCCATCACCTCTTTTGCAACCTTTCCACTGAGAAAACATAAGAAGAAGAAATCCTGTCATGTGATTTATTAAAGACTAAATATAGGACTGTTACACCGAAGGACATATAACATTTCCAAGGCTGTTTTTAATAAGTAAATATGTACTTACTTATACTTACGTGTACTTAATATTCTTACTTAATAAGTTACCTGTATCTAAAGCGACTACCCTTGAAGAAGAGATTACTGCTGGACACAGTGCGGACTTGACTCGACTTCTCCAACCTGTGAGAAAAATGGAAAGAGTAAACATGATTTACATAATAATGACAAGCGTTACGTCCTTTCTGCACGTTTGTGTTGCAGGTCTTGTGACTCACTTGAAGAAGGACTGATTCTCGACTCCACACTTCCACAGATGCTTACAGGCGTCGGGTGTAGGTGCAAAGTATGTCAGTATGATCTTTTTATCCTGTAACATGTCCAGCACAGTGACTCACACATATATTATACGTTTATATAACTCATACTTCAACAAGACTCCATGTGGTGATTGTCAATACAGTTTCATCATGTGAAGAGAACATGCATAGTCCTCTGTGTTCGTTTTACTGAGCTCTTTGCTACAGGGCATTACGACGGATCAGTCAATGCACACAGACAGTGGCTTTACTTGGTCTTTTGTCTGCTAAAACCCATAGCTACCACACCTGTCCAATATTTCCCATTTACATCACTATTAAGGATAGATTACATAGGCTACACAGTGGCAGTGCCCCATGCATAAAACGAAGCCTGAGCTCCACAGGCTAGAAAAGGGAAGTTTTTAATAATATTTTAACACTCCTACCTCCGTCTGATTTGCATATATATGGAATGTCTTTGCTTCAAACTTGAGTTTGGTCACCTCCTCCCTGTGTTTGAGATACACAGACAGACAGACAGAACAAAGGACAGACAGATAGAGAGGGAAATGATGATGAATGGAAAAAGAAAAAGACAAAGTGAGAAAGAGAAAGAAACAGCCACAAATAACAGAACATAGAGAGCGATGGAGGGAGGAAGACAGAAAGAAGGGATAGGCAGAAATGGATAAAGGTGGCAAAATATTTGGAGGCAAATTAATAAGGCCAACAGTGTTATATATTGAATCCCATCACAGAAAATGACAAGAATAAGGTGCAAGAGATTTTGAAAAATAAAGTATATTGTATATAAATAAAACAGTATAGTGTGCTGGAGTGTATTATGTGTGACAGCCCCTCTGTTTGGTTCCTCTGCTGTGTCTCTTTCTATTTCCAGGGCTGCAGACCTGATTGGGGATTAATCAGTGGCATTGGTCACACCTGGGCCCAGCGTGCCCCATAGATAAAAGCTTGAGCAGCAGAATTAATTTGTTGGCAGATCTCCTCTCAGTCCTTTGTTGTGGCTCTTGGATTCTTCCAAGAGCTCCAAGAGCTTCCATTCTTTTTACAGCACAACACCCGTGCAGCATGTTTTCATGCATCCACTCCCTACTACTGACTTTACAGATTCCTCCCATCAATTTATTTAACTTATATTGTTTTGCTTTTTAGTTGATAAATCACTTTATTTATGTGTCTCCTGTTTTTGCCAGGCTGTGATGTATGTCATAAAAAAGTCAAAATGTAGCATGCTATAGCATGCTACATTTAAAAGTTTTTTCTTGGTATAAAGAAATCTTGTGCCTTCTGGCTTTTTGTTGGGACAGGACTGAGGTTTGCAATTAAAGACTGTCTGGCATTATGATCTGTTGGGTTGCCTGTGTTGCTGTGTTGTTATTATCTAGCATCATGTGCAGTTTTAACTGTTCATCTTAACTCACCATTTGAGGAAATGGATCCTCCTGTTTCCTTGCAGCACAGTGAATCCAAAAGGAGTAAAAGCCAGAAAAGCTGGGTTGCCAGACACATCCTGACAGGCACATGAACCCATGTTTCTTTGTTATTTTAGAATCATAATTTTAAATCACAGTTAGATAATATTCTCTTGTCAATATCCTACATTGATAAATGACACTTCAAGACGGTAGTATAACAATTCCACTTTGATTGACTTTAGTTCATCTCACATTTACTCAAAAAACATCAACAAAATTACTCATTGCATCAAATTGCACATTGAGCTGAGAATCATGAAAAGCAAAAGGTCTTAATTACAAAATACATTTGTTTTGTAAAAAACACCTTGCATGGATGAGGGTCCACTCCGTATGTCTCCAGCCTCTGAGCCTTCTGGAGGAAGTTAAGCTCTGACGTTTCAGGACTCTGTCCTCTGAGAAAAAAGAACAAAAAAGTCAGTTAATTGACTTCTGTCACAAACAACGGTCAACGCTGACTGTGTGTAACCATTATTCTATTTCATCATCATGTGATTCAGGGTTTGTGCAATTTTTTGACAAATGAGCTGAAACCAAAGTGTTTACTCTCTGTCAAACTTCTCCCTCTCTAGTTTTGAAGTCTACCAGTATTGTGATGATTTTTCCCTAAAATGGTTTCAGGTACAACTTTTACCTGTGGTGACGCTCGAGTATAGGGAGATGCATCTTGACTGTTCAAAATTCTGTCAAACACGATGGAGGAAATGAGCGATAGAGGGCAGTGTAGGATCAAACCAGTGCCTCTGTTCTGGTGTTGTGAGTGTGTGTGTGTGTGTGTGTGTGTGTGTGTGTGTGTGTGTGTGTGTGTGTGTGTGTGTGTGTGTAAAAAATGGAGATAAGAAAAGATCAGAGACAAATGCAAATGTTCTACTAACAAAGAGGGTTGATTCAAGTGAATTATCAGCTAGTAAATCAAACTAAGGTTGCACAGTACACATTATTATTCTATATGAGCACAGGTTAAGCTCATATCTGAGCACTGGAATGTGCATGTAGTTCAGCAAATTTAAAAAGTCGAGCCAACCTCTTGCCGTAGGCTACACAGACTATCATCCTTTTCCAACATCACCATTGTTAGTGGATTAGCAACCAGAGCTGCTTAACCTGATGATGCAGTAGCACTCGAACACCAAAAGTGTCTCACACTATGTAGAAGAATGAGTGGGGATTGTAACATCCCCACCTCAGATCTGTCCAGCATACCGGCAAAATTCTGTGAACTGTTCCCAAACTCTTTGAACTATCAGCACCACCAAGGGGAACAAATCCAAATTCAGCAGGCCATTAATGGTTGCCTGAGCACTGGCTTCTGGCCACTGTTTGCCTGAGGCAGGGCCCCTCAAAACTGGGGGATTGTAGGAAGTGCTCTGCTGGATGTTGCAGACTGTTGCTTTCAATCGCCAGGCTTGAGTAGAAGTCAGAGAGTGTACTGAATCTGTAAATGAAAATGTCGGTGCCTTATTTTGCAGAGGTGAGTGGGCAAGTCTATAGAGCCTGCATGAAGGCTGTATAGAGGGGTCTGGCAGGAGCGTGTTTGGTTATTACCAATTATGAAATTGAAATAATAGATATCAATAAAATGAGCATTATCAATAGGATTATTAACATATATTAACAATACCGGGGCATCACCCTGGAATCAGGGACCAATAACCAAACTGTGGATTAGGTCTTAAAATTGGTCTTTACTCAAAAGGTAGTCAAAGTACTATTCCACATTCAGAGTGAACAGTGAAGGGTTGAATCTGAGCGCTGACTAACAGCTGTCATCACAACACATATGTACAAAATAATCACAGAAAACTGCTCTTTAAAACTATATTAGAGTTTATTTATCTTCAACAATACTGATCAAAAATCAACAATAACAATCAAGAAACATCTATTATACAATTACAAGCAGGGAGTATATGTGTGTTTGAATGTGTGTGTGTGTGTGTTTGTAAGAGGGGGAGGAGAGAGAAAAAGAGAGCAAGACGGCGGACGTGGTCATGTAGTGGTTACGTCATGTAAGACTTAACAATGGCGGTCTCGATTATTTAACGGGGCAATAAGACACAATGGGAGACGCGCTTACACGCCACATGTGTATGAAATAAGCGTAACAGCGTGTATGTGTGTATGTGAGTGTGTGTACGTGTGTGTGGGTTAGTTAGAAAACAAAAAAACAAAAGAAAAGCACTCAAAACAAGGCAGATCCTCACCTCAGCAGTAAAGTTCAGCAAATGTAACTTTATCACACAGAAGCCCAACTGGTGAACTCAGATTCAGAAGCCGCGGCACTGGACCTTTAACTAATAAAGTACAGTTTACCGACTTTACGCACAGTGGCTGATCCAAACACAACACTGTTACAGCAGCAACAAGCAGAACAGTTATGTTACACGGCACTGAACGGGACTCAGCGGTCCGTAAAATACATAATAACACGTTAATAGTAGAGTTAAACTTGAAACAAAACAAACAAGGTTACAAACACACCATGACCTATCTCTGCCCGGACAAAAGCCTCTTACTTGAGATTGCTTTGTTGTGGTTGGTGTGTTTCTTCGGACTTGTCCGGTGGAATTTCTCCTGCTTAGGACCAGGGACTGACCCATGGTGTGTAGGCGGGTTAAGCCTACACACCATGATTCTCATCTGGCGGTGGAAAAAACAGCGAATATTGACTTGAAGAAACCGGGAATTCCGTGATCTTCCTTCTGGAGGTTAAAGTGGCGAAGCACGGGGCAAGTTATCCATTTTCCTTTCAGGATCCAAGTGTGTTCTTGAACACAAAACAGTCTGTTGTTCAGCCAGCGAAGTTAGGACTATTACTTAGGGTTTTCTCTTCAAATACATCAACGTTGTTTCACCCCCTCTTAGCAACGTGAGTCGCATGGACGGCGCAGGGTAAAGGTATGCCCCGTTCTATACAGCCTGTGACATCATGGCTGTGTCACAGGGACTCCCTGGGGTTCCCGTGGCCCTCGTCGATTGAGGCACCAGTGTTGTGGTTTGAACCAAATCTCATACTTTGGTGAGATTTTGATGCCTGTTTGTGGTTGGCGCGATGTCACAATCAAGGCTTTCAAAATGTCATGCAGGCCTCTCTCTTTGTTTCAACCACATGGTGAAGTCCCATCACAGGTGTGTATTATTGCCTATGCTTGTATTCCTCTGATTTCACATGTTTTTATGAACCATCTTAAATCCTGAATGTTAATGTTTCTGTGTAAGGCTGAACACCCACGGACATCCTCTTTGTTTGTTTTTTACACATCCAGGCTTCCCCTGGTAACCCTATTCAACGTCACAACGGTATGACTTGTGGGTAATTCCTTCAGACAAAGTCTGTGGAAATGCAGACGTATGGAAAGTGTGCATAAAAAGCTCAAAATATCCGCTCTCTATGATTTGTCAGTGGGACAGCCCTAAGCCCTCATGACCATTAAGGCGACGTGCCTCAAAGTCTGTGAGTCAGTGAGTGTGAACATTGGGATTGGGCCATGGACAAGTGTCACCTTACATCAGCTCAGTCTTGTGGATGTCAGCAATCCGCCGCTCCAACTTCTCCGAGTGCTTGGGGAAGAACTGGAACTTGGAGCTGTAGCCGTCAGGGTGTTTCCCGGGGTCGTGGTCGCCAATTTCAGCTGGAAAATTTGAAAAAGAAAAAAAGTCAACTTCCATGTTTGATGATGACTTTTTAATCCACTTATTTAATTTTAAATTAAATTGCCTTACCAAACGTCATGGCTGACACTAGCTGCAAGTACCAGAAGTAGTCAATTCAAAGTAAAAACAACAAATTCAGATTTTCAAGGTCCCCATCAGAATGAGGCTTCAACCTTTTGAACACGCTCTGCTAGCACATTTGCACACACCCATACAGTACATAGTAAAGTACATATTGTATATGGAAGAATGCGAAGACAAACGCACATAAACACAGATGGAAAGTGTTTATCAACAAGCCAGGGTCCTATGGGAATCCTAAAGTCTACAGTAGGTCACAAACATTATAAATAATATATGTCATATGCGCCAGACAAACCTCTGTCAGAGGACATACGGTAATATATTTAGAGTTGTAGTTTGGGGTGAGTTTTTTGACATGATGACCACAACTGTGGAAGTTCTGGGTAGACAACAATGTAATTAAAGCTCGTAATTTCCCATCAAAACAATGATTGAGATATAACATCTAACTGCCTCAAATGCACCAATTAGAAGACCCCATTGGCTTTCTGGTCAATATCGTAAAGACTGCCTCGTGGGAGGATATTTGTGATGTTGGATAGTTTGACTCTATAACTCCCTATTTTGTCGTACCTTGTAATATGTAGGCAGCCAACAGAGCAGCATCGGATGTCTTGCACAGGAGGCGACCATGGTAGAGATCCCTCTTAACCTGCAGGAAGACGAGATATCTGTGGAGTGGAACACAGAGAAACTGATGTGGGTCATTATTAAGATAAGCCCGATATCGAAAGTCCTCCTCATGTAAACACACATGGTGGATATTTACAAGTTAAAAGTAATGTGTCCCTTGAAGCAGCATGGGTGTCAAAAACATTGTTAGAAGAAGAAACCTTGAGAATTCTAAATTCTAAATTTGACTACTGTGAAATGTATGTTGTGTTAATGTGTGCTTTTATATGTTTGTGTACCTAATGCTGAACCCATGTGTATTAGCTCAAGGCGCTGTTTTTAAACAAAGAGACTGATATAATGACAGCTTAAGAGGCAGATGCCCTGTGTTTCCTAGTCTCCTTTAGATGTGATGTCTGTAGTTATTACAGATATGCTGCAGTACCTGTCAGCCCTACACGGTGAAATGTAAAATAAATGCAGCTAGCAACAACTCCATTACTCTAGGGCCCTTTCACAACCAATTTACAATTAACCTATAACCTAGAAAAAAATAAATGAATCTAAGATTGGCAATCCAAAGTTGCCTGTATCATTAGACACGGCACATTAAACCAACCTGAAGGCAGAACTGGAGGTAGGCATATCATTTGGAGAATTGACAACGATCTAAAATATGATTGCTGTTTTGCACTGAAGTCCACTGGGAGAGGCTGAATCTTCTGATCTTGTCAACAACATCCAGACATTACTCATATGTCAATTTTCCCGCTCAATTCCGCCTGTGATTCGGCTTCTCTCCAGACAGCAAAGCAATAAATAGTATAGCGATACTAAGTACAGTCGAGATGTGTTATTGAGCCTTTTTTACATCCTGCCACCACCTTGTACAATTATATACAGTATAAAGACAGTGTAAAGCATGTCTATGCTTATCCACCACACATTTGTATGTCTGTGAGAGCTTCCAGTCACAACAGATGGAGGAGGGTGGAGGAGCTGTCCCTTGCCGGCACTCCAGCTCAATCAAGAAGAGCTGGATTGCAAATAAGAGATTTCACTGCTTGGCAACCAGTCGAGGGATGTGATTTACAGGGATCTGTGCACTCCGTAGCTCTGTGGCTCACTCCTCACAGCAGTTTGTTCAGCTGTCAAGGATGCCACACACAGTACAGTAGTGGCAAGGAGCTTCGTGACGTGGCAGCTTACTGTATAAAAAAGAGAAAACTCAAATCCCCCTGCACACAGACTCACTGTTGAGCTTTGGATATTGTGGTTTTACTTTTGTACCTGCGTCACTTTTTGCATTTATGGTACATTTATACTTGTAGTTCACCCAATTATGAAGAAGGCAAACTGAAAACATATTTTCCATTAAAATCTATCATAAACTTATTTAATTTCAGTTTTCAATCAATAATAACAATGGTTACAGTCCTAAGAAGTATGTATTGATCCAATTCTCAGTTAAGACAAAGGCAAACATTATTCTTGAAAATCTCTGTTAAGCTGCGGTTTACTTATCCATGTTTAAATTATCTTAAAGATGGCTGCACAGGCCTTAAAACAGTAAGATATCAGAATACTTTTGATCGGATTTTATGAGACAGATTAAAAGAAAGGCAGACGATAAAAACACTCCCTTTGGTTTAATAAAACCAGCCCAAAGTGTGGGATTTTTTAATGCTACTGTACTGAGCTTTGCTCTCTGTCAGCATTTTTACACCGTGGTTATGACTTCCAAATATAGATTTGTATGGTGTGGTTGTCCCTAGTTGAATGTAATTAGATTTATACGCCACCTGTCAGACATCACTTTTTCCACATTAGTGTTAATACCACCAGTGAGGTCAAACAGAACCAAGAGCTGTTATGAACAATCAGAAAAAATTATATGAGAAGCATTTCCAAGGATGTTCTGGTTGTGAAAATACTGGTGGCATCATGCAAGCTCTGATTTGTAGCATGAGACCATTTCATCCTTTGTTAATTTTGAGACAATTCACTAATTCAACAAGATGCCATACTTGTGATCCATAAGTACACAGAAGCCCTTTAGGACTTGACAATGTTAAAGGAGAGCAATGCTAAATCAGTGGAGTACGCTTTTGAAGACGTCGCTCAATCCTACTGCCATTCATACAATTTGCTTGTATTACATGATTACTGTAGAAATGTCACAACTGTCACTTTTAAAACTCAATCAGTGGAAGACAAAGGGAGACATGAGAGGCAAGTTTTATTCCCTCAACCCCAACCCCCCATCTGCAGCCCATCAAGCTATCTTGAAATCTTACCTGGTGATTTCCTCTTTTAGGGCAGCGGGGTCAGGCGGGTAAAACTTGACACGCAAACACATGGTGAATGGAGGCTGGGCTGGAGAGAAAGACAAATATTAAAAATCTATTGTCATGTTTCTAATGTTGTTGGCATGTTTGGTGTGTTCTTCTTTTTCTTTTATAATTAGCACATATTTCATCATTCGATACTTACATTTAATTTGTTTGGCAATTGACTTTGTAAACTCCAACCAATGCTGAAAGGGAGAGAAAGAGAGGTAACGACCTGCACTTTGGACACTGAATGCTTGGCGTCTAAACTGTCAGTCTGAAATCTGATTGCTCAGTAGTCACATGATGACTTCTAATCTATAGCTGGAAGGCACATTAGAATAACTATCATCTCCTTGCCTTCTGTTTATTTAGACCCCTTACAACACAGTCTCCATGCAGTCAGTGAGATGATGACACGCTGACAATAATGGAGCACTGCGTTCACAATACAGTAACTGTAAAACACAAAGATGAATGTAAATGAACACCAATCTTCAAATGTCTCTCAGCTAAAATGCAAAGAGAAAGTCCAAAGTGGATACCATATTCCAGCCCTGAAAGCATTTGCACTCCCATCCATAGTTCAAAAGTACAACGATGAACAAATACTCGGTCCAAGCACTGCAAATTCACCAAGGACTATGTTAATGTCTAGTGATTGATATTCATCTCAATCAAAGGTGGTTGGCCTTCGCCCAGTTTGCATAATTGTCCAGCTGGCCTCCATACCTGTCCTGAATATTTATGTAGAGGAGAAGAAAAGACTCATTAGATCAGTAAGGTCCAGCATTCTTACCTATATTTACTAAAGCATCCGTCTCTCCCTGAGAGAATTAATTGATCTACAGACTCTAAAAGGTAGAGTAGGGATAGTCAAGACTGACTGTGAAAATGTGACCACAGAGGGTTTCTTATCCTTGCATCAGCTTCACTGGGTTTCCTTGGTCCTTTAAAGATTTACATTTGAAGTGTTAAACACATCGCTGTATTACCTTTGACAACACAAAATGTTTTTTTACGAGCTAAGGGATTTGCTCTGCAAACTTGGGTGAACTAGTTTTTAAGGGGACAAATTACTCAAAATAATTCCAGCTATTTCAGATGAAAGAATGACACGAGTGAGAAGAGAAGAAGATAGAGAGAATTGAAACGAAAGAAAGGAAGAAAGATGGGCAGATGACAGAGAGAAGAAGGTGAGACTGAACATTCAACCGAATTTAATCCAACTGAAATTTGGTTGGGTTTATTATTATAAACTAATACTTACCCTCTGCTTGTCTGGGTCAACATATCTAATACCAAAGTAGTCTTTCTCCAGCAGGTTGAGATGGTGGCAGATGACGTCGAACAGGTACTGTCCCTTGGCATCCCGCTGAAAGAGAAATAATATGGGAAAAGTCACATTATGAACCCCAATCAATGGTGCATATACTGTTACTGTATGCCAACAATGCCCAGATGAAGCAGCAAATAACATCACACATTTAGACCCCTGAGACGTCAGAGAAGCCACCAGAAAGTGTTTTAATATTTAACTACCCTCAAGAGACATACTGTATGAGGGCTATCAAATATTCATATTGAGGCAGCAGCCACCTGTGAAAGCTTTGAGAGATTTCTGCTGCAGAAAAAGACCTGGAGAAACAGTGAGACAACTGTGTGGGCAAAGGACCGGCTGGAAAGGAGAGGAAGCCCCCGTCCTGCAATGCAGTGTGAAAACCTGACCCTTCCCTCCCGCCTTGCGTGACTTTTTTCAGTCTTCTACGTCATCATACTCCCAGAGCACTTTCTCTGGGTGTCTAATGACTCGGATGGGAATGAAAACGGACTGTGTTATCCTGCACAAGCTGTTCGGAGTAAATTTATGGTCAAGTTCAGCTCATTTTGGAGCTTATATTGTAGAAACTTAAGTCACTGATATCGACACAGACACAGATTTCTCCAACTGTTCTACGTTGACTGTCCATATACGCTCTAGCTATCCTTCCTTCACTGGCAAAGGACGCTATAAAATATCCTACAGTACCCTTCAGAGGAGACACTGCGTGACACAAAACTGCACAGTCAGAAAGTCAACGGCAGATATATGAGAACGGAAGAGGAAAAGAGAAGAGAAAGACAAAACCAAATGAAGAGAGGGAGAAAACAGAGGGGGGGAGGGAGAGAAGAAGACAGGCCAGTTTGTTTGCAGATTTTGCAGCTGCAAAGTCACCTTTCTCAGTCAATATAGCATGCACTGAGGAATTTACTGCTTAAATCTACATTTACATTTATTTGTGTTCAACACAGCCACTGACTGGACTCAGTTTTTACTAGTGACTCCAGTTCTTTCGGTTCTTTCCCTGTCTCTCTCTCTCTGTACGTTTATGAGGCAGATTCATAAATCCTCAGGAGACATTTTTGCTCAGGTTGAAACATTTTCCACAAGCTTGAGCGAGCCTTTGTGCCCCTGTGAATTTTAGTTGCGTCTTTTTGTTGCTGGCTCTAAAAAAGGGTTTTGCGTTCTGACTGAACACGGTCTTGTTGACAACATTACATATATCACACTGTATCTGCTTGTGTCAGCACTTCATTGAAAGCTACAGTATATCACCCATATTAATCAAAATATTAAAGTCCAAGATGTGGCGAAAATGACACCAAAATATTTGTAGAAAATGTCGTGTATAAATGATATAATGATGCATAAAGATTTGAATAGTGATTAAAGAGATTACATTACATTGAAGCACACAAACGAAGCATCAAGGAGGTATAAGCTTGAGTTCAGTCAACCCACAACAAAGCACAACCCAACCTAAACCTATCAGGTCTCCTTGTGTCAAGCTAAGCACTTGCCAGACCTTTCCCAGGATGCACCAGGCTGACCCTCCATCTCCTCTGTCAGTGTGTCTATATGTCACTGTCACCACTTATACCCTGACTCACCAGGACAGGCCTGCTGACTGGCCCAGCAGCAAAAATAGAAACACACACTTCAATGTGCAGTCGCGCACAAGGAGTCTCCATCCTTCTTGCTCTATTATAAATGTCTTTGGTACACCTGTGAAACCTCTAGCTCCACAACATTGTCAGAGCATGTACCTCCCACTCCCTCCATCTGCTGTGCACCGTAGTGAAAACTACAGCGATGCCCAAAAAAGCCTTCCAAATTAATCATGTTGTTAGCGCCTGTTTCCTTCTATGTGTGCACCAGTGTGTTTGTACTATACCTGCGTGTGTGTGTGTGTGTGTGTGCTTGTGTGAGGTTCTTGATGATGCACATCCAAGTTCGTGGTTATGAAACAATAACAGAGAAGCAATGCGATTCATCTGAGTCCAACACTTCAGCAAATAGATGAAAAGGAAATTAATGAAGAATTCTGAACTCTTTGGCGAAAATGTCCTTACTCAAAAAAAACAGTGCAATCACACACACTTTCTACAATGGATTTATCAGCTGTTACAAACAGATTTTGGATGGTACGACTGAATAAAGAGCTTCTGATCTGGAGTCTTCTAGTGCGCATTGCAATGAGTGCAGCGCAGGTAATTCTATTGTCCCTGGTAATTTACCTGACTCTGCACTCTGATGCAGTTTGTAACGACGAGATTGAACCGCACTCTAACATTGCTCCGTGCTCATTATCTGGCTTGACTGAACAGCATTAGAATAAAGCAGCAGTCTCTCTTGCCTATAGGCAGCTGACCAAACACTTATAATGTACATTAGGTGCTGTGTTGCATACTGATGAGACACACTGAACTTCAGTGAGCTGACTGAGGCTCCACTGGGACACAAAGGTGGGCTCTGAGGCAGAAACATTATTGATCTGAAGTTAAGTGTTCTTCAACATCCTTATGAGATTTAAACCCAGAGCCAAGCTGCAATACGCTGGTGGCTGCAGAGAGGAAATATACTTTATGTTGCTAGTTAAAGCATTGTTTTATTGTTTTAGAGTAGATCAACTGCAGATCTTTTATGCGGTTTGTGGTCACGTTATTTCAGTGTAGTAATTGATTTCCTCACAGTATTCTCTCCCTTAGGTTGTTATTGCTGTGGGGGAAATAATTAGATCCATGCTATAGGATTAAACCCCTTTTATTGCCAAAACAGAAGGGAATAAAATAACCTGCTATTACGATATATGGCTATACAGTGAGAACTTATACAACAGGCTTTGCAGTGGGAGTGATTTGTGTTTCATACACAACGCATGGACTTTACACTATAGAATGCATAGTGAGAAAATTATTTTTCCTAAGCAGGAGCAATTACACCTTACAAGTCCGAAGGAACACACTAATCGCCAAGGAGCGATCTAAAGTAAGAGGCTTTTGTCTGGGCAGAGGTAGGACATAGTGTGTTTGTAACCTTGTTTGTTTTGTTAATGTTAACTGTACTATTTACCTTGTTAAAGTGTATTTTACGGACCGCTGATTCCCGTTCAGTACTGTGTAACATAACTGTTGTGCTTGTTGCTGCTGTAATAGTGTTGTTCCACGCTGCTGAGTTTTGTTGCGTTGAAATCTACCACCACAAGTAAAGTCGGTAAACTCTACTTTATTAGTTAAAGGTCAAGTGCCGGAGTTCACCAGTGGGGCTTCTGTGTGATAAAGTTACAGTTGCTATATTTTACTGCTGCGGTGTTGATCTGCCGTGTTTTGAGTGCTTTCTTCTTTTCCTTTCTTTTCAAACTAACCCATCCTGCATATAATGTACCAACTACACTGTTTTCATGCTTCGTTAAGACTCAAAGATCTAGATGTGGACAATTGATGCCCTGCATGTAAGATTAATCAGGGTTAAATCTGGGAAATTTGCCACAACATATTTACAGTAGTTCTGATAAATGGTGTCTCCACTCAAACCGACTTTCCAGAGTAATTAAACCCCATTCATCCCCTGCTTTACAAACTCGACCTGAGCACAGGTTCCTCAACTGTACTGCATGTAAAATGTCAAATGTCTTTCTTTCTTCTTCTTTGAGCCATACAATTATTTATATTGTGACATACTTATATTGACCAATAACGTCATGATAAACATTTCTGCCATATGACTCAGTCCTACTTCCTAATTATCAGAGTGAACAAACAGCACGATTGTTCTGTCAGCTTCCATCCAGTTCATGGGCAAGTCATTAAAGTCTGTTGTTTGATTTCACTGGTCAAGACAAATGACTGGCCTGGAGGCCCTTTTTTCTATGTTTTATGTATGTGTGCTTGTCCAGTTGTGTATGAAATCTGGCAGGCTTGGACGTGTTTACAGACTTACTGCAGATAACAGGCCAAGGTCCAAATAAACATCTGCAATACCTGGTATAGTGAGAAGGCTATTTAGCTGAGACAGTCTTCAAACCATCTTGCACTTCTGGATATAACTGAAATTACGAAGCAAAACAAAATAATCTATACATTGATTTTGAGGGACAGAACCTCAAGATTCAGCTTGAGTGTCTGGGTTGGTGACCTCAGCAGAGTGGGAAGCAAACAGAATGAGGATGAGCCCTTCAGAGTCACGTCGTGAGAGTACGATGAAGTGTGAGACAAATGAAGAGAAATGAGCAGACATTCCAACTCTCACATACTCTTATTGGCTTGAGGTGGTGACTGAAATAATACGTGGATACAAGCAGCCAAAATGACCTTCCTTTGTAAGGTGTCTTGAGCTCACCCTTAAAGTCCAAGGGAAGCAGAAGTTAGAGCATCTTAAGCTCCTGTACTGTTACGTATTCCCCAGTGAAACACAATATTTGAGCCATGTACAGTTACAAGAGGGATTTAAATCACATCCTTTGCATTTGATTGAACCGCTGAAAAGTGGGCGGGGTTAGAATGCAGCGTGATACAGAGCTACAGAGGACTGTGGCTCCACACACACCTCTGTTGTTGCTGAAAGTTGCAGATTGATTACAAGAAGAAAAGATTGGTTGTATTTTGATATAGAAATATGAAGAAATGGATTTAGTTTTTCAGATTTTATTAAATAAGTGCACAATATGACCAGGGATGTGATCTAAAAGGGTGAAGGAGGCAATTTTCATTTCATCTCAAATTGAACCAAAGGGTGAGGAGCTTGGGTAGCTTTGCAGCTCCTTCACACAGGAAGGCTCCAGTTGAGATGTTCGGGCATTCCTCCTGATACATCCCTGTGAAGTTCAACAAGACAAAGATCCAGATCAAGCACAGGAGACGCTAGAGAGATTTTACACCCCATTTGATTGAGATGGACATCTGCCACTGCAACGCAGTCTGTATAATACTAGTCCTGGCCAAATGAAGAAAGGTATAGACACTGAAATAGTTGTTGTGGCAGTAGCAGTAGTAAAGGTACTTGCTAGTAGAAACAGCAGTTGTTAGGCATGTGCAGGTAGTAAAAGTTATACCGGC